AAAAAAAAAAAAAAAAAAAAAAAAGAATTAAATCATTCACCGATGCGAAATCTGCTTGAGCCGGTCAGAAAATGTTTTGATTTTGATCAAGAATTTTTAAAATAAAATCAGCGCCATCTATTACTCTGCACTACCATAGTATAATAAGACAGGTGAGGATGTGTGCACGCCCACCGTGCGCCTTGAACGCGTTGTATAGAGCGCTGCCGCAGTTACTTAAACGGGTTCATGTGACATTTTTTAAATTTTTTTATGTTTTCAGCCGTGATCAGTAAAAAAGGCCGATCTGTCACTATATTCATTTTTTCCTAAGTGGATAAGGTATGAAGTCATCGCAAGAAAAAAGTAAATATTTTTTAAATTTAATTTCTTTAAACATTATTTTATCGCTTTTGAGCTTTTGTCACATGCGCCCTTTTAACTAAAGGCGGTACAGCGAGTCGTCTCACGCGACATTCTGTTTAAAAATTACATCAAGTAGTAGGCGTGTTTATGTTTGTGTTTATGGTTGTTCGAACAAGAGCGACTCAAGGTCAGAATTGTTCACCATTTCAATTATATTTCATGATCTTTCACTCCCATAGTCGAGATACCGTTCCGCGATGTTGGTATAAAAATATAAATACGTAAGTACTGTATTTAACAAAGGTTATTTCAGTATACCACGAGAAGTGTTCTCGTGGCAAACTGATGAACACATTTAAAGAAAAAATGTGTTTACAACCTACAGGTTGTAACTACAGGTCTATTATACCGTAGGTATTTTCGATTTTGATATGAGATTCATGTATCTGTTACGTAGTTAACTATTAAGTAATCTGTGGTTTTGCGAAAATGGCTTCTAAAGATTTTTTGCGTTGTTTTTGTTTGTGTGCTCTAAAATGTAGTGATAAAATGAAACTTTTGCTGTTGTGCTCGTTGTTGTTGGGGAATTATAGTAATAAATAATATGCAATGCACTATTAGTTTTCTTTCGTGAGTTTGGGTCTAATTTGCGGTTTGTGTGTCTATGGCACCCGCGATATTATTGTTATTATTGTTAACCCTATACTTGAACCGGCGGGAGTTGTCTTACTAGTCTTTATTATCCTATGGTACTACTCTGTTAATAGGGCTTCGCATTTAGGTTCATTCCCATTATCGTTATCGAGTTGTGTCCTCCAATGTGTAAAGCGTCTTTTTTTGCTATTAGAGCGGTACTACGGAGGGAAGATACTCTACCGGATCTTGGGAACAATACAGTACTTGATGTTCAACCGGTTGGTTCAATTGTATCGGCTGCCCAGCGCGTTCAACACGCTCTCCGCGTACATCGAAAGACAGGATATTCTTCTCATGTAAGCGTTTATTTAATCCTAGGTATAACAATAGTAATAAGGGTAAATTGTAATCCTGAAATATCAGAAAGTTGGTGTAGAATAAAAGAAGACGAAATAGGTTTTCTTTACAAAGGTCTTCGAGCAGTGCGTGTTGCCAGTGATGACCTACGGCTCTGAGACGTGGTCAATTACTATGGCATTTCCCTGCGTGATCGCATCAGAAATAAGGAGATCCGTATAAGAACGAAAGTCACTGACAAAGCTCAAAGGATTAGCAAGTTGAAGTGTCATTAGGCAGGGTCCATAGCTCTTACAACTAACGGTCGTTGGGGCAGGTTCTCGAAAAAAAAAAATAAATAAATAAAAGATTCTCGAATGGAAATCATGAACCGGAAGGCGTTCTCTGGGGCGGCCCCTTGCAGACGGACGGAAGACTTGGCAAGGGCGTCGGGTAGCCG